AAAATGTTGCCCTTTGGAATTGTCTCTAGTGATTGTGGTTTTACTCTGCCTCTTTTCCCTTTTAGCAATACCAAAATGTAGCTATTTGACCTCTGTTCATGTATACTTTTTCTCTGCGAAAATAACAAAATTGATATTCATGGACTACCTGTACAGAAATAAAGTCATTAGAAGGCAAACTTTTCATCGATTCTTTTTCGTCTGTTGCCTCAGTGTTGGTCACCTAGTTGAGCCAAGCACCAGTCCCAGCATCCAAACTTATATACAAGACTGATGTGAAGAGTGCTATTGTAAGCCACTTTTCCTTGTTTCAATTAATCTTTAATCCGAGCTCCCTTCACTCGTGTCGTGCAACGCTGGGCCGCTTCGCATGGTTCTATCAATTTGGCACAGCCTCGGACTATCAAACCGAATCAAAGAATCTGTATGAATAAAAAAATCACAAGGTTTGGAGTGTATTATTCAATTATACCGCATAGTTAAATGAAAATTCTTTTTGAACATGGAATTGCTGTTTATAATGCTTTCATCTACGAAATACCTTCGACTTGCTTTTATAATCTATTTGGGTTTATCACCAATATGCGTTTAACCTTTGGACAGGCACCAATAAAAGTCAATTATTTTAACGGCATGCAGTAAATAGTTTCACTAAAATGAATCTTATATTGTTTCACTATGCTAATAAGGTTTATCTTGTTTAGATTTGTGGTATTTGTTTAACTTTATCATTTAGAAGCTCTGGGTTTCAACAACTTGGTAATGTCATCGACGGTAGAGGATGTTGCCTTAGCAACAGTTCCAGTATAATTGTGATTTGGTGGAAGCTTAGCCTGCCTTCAAATTCACACACTCCTTGACCTGCTGGCACCCGTGGCTGAGACGAATAACTTGATTTGTAACCGCATTGGACATGCCATTGAGATCTAGGCCAATTCGAAATTGCAGTCCACTTTGGGAGGCGAGGCTGAATGAGATTTACTTGTACCGTGTGGCCGGCAAATTTGATGGTGGAAACTTCAATTATCAATTTCTAAATAATCTAAAACGATAGTGACTAATGTTCTTCTAGCTCCACTAATAATTTTGAAACCTACTTACTGGTTATCACAAAAATTGACTAAAATGTACTGTCATAACTACGAATAAGAAAGCGGATGAAACAGGCAGTGTATCTGTGCCAATAATAATTTGAAAAACCTGAATGTGCCTATTTAGAAACTGCAATTTTTATATTATTTCTAAACTTAAAAGCTACTTAAACTCACCCATGGAGTGTTTGACTTTCAAAACTCCCTCTATTGCCAATAGCCGAAAAACGCATCAATATTCGGCACTAATTGTGGTCCGTAATGGTCAGGATTACCAAGATGCTAATTGCTTCGTACAATTGGTTTGACTTAGTATTTATCACTACATCGTGTTCTAAGGAAGAATTCATACGTACACATTACTTAGTTCTCTACCAGCGTACTCATGTATTCTTCCGGCATCATAACGTTGCCTGGATATACGCTTGCCGGCATTATAGTCTAGCTTCCATGAGTGGCGCAATCTTTAGCTACAACGCGTCAGTGACAAGTAAGTCTCATTTTGCTCGGCACATGTTTTATCGGTTGAGATCCGAGGAGAAAGTCCTTGACTGTTCGTAGGAAAATTTGTAGAGTAGATTAACTCCCTTGTCACTAATGTGAGTTGTAAATTGATGCCAAGGATGGCGCTACTCACTGACGCTGCCATCTAAACATCTTGGAATGTACATTTCCAATTGTCCAATGCTGGGAAAACAATATGACAATGTCAGAGGACACAATGTGATTCACGTTCTTCGGAGTTGCCCTGAGAATACGATTAAGTCATGGAAACGAGAATAATAGTATTAAAGTTTTCTCTTGGAATCGGGACTGCATTGCTGAATATGAACATGCTGCCGATTGGCATACCAACTAGCCACGAGTCTCGATTTGGTGTTGATGCATCCTAGGAGGGATCGAAACTTCAGTCCACCGTAGTCTATAATATTCTTCGGGGACCGTTAGCTAGTTTGGAAAAAGTAGTTGAGCTCACTTCCATTTCGTGTGTAGGTGTTTGATGAGGAGATGTGAAGATCGATCCCGTCAAGAGACGATGACGAATTTCTCTTGGCCATCTGTCGGCTTG